GGGAGCCCAGGTAAGGAGACTGCCTTGCATTTAACCCCTCTCTAGCCAGAAAACCTAAGCAATACAACATTTGTGTGGTCGAACCATAAAGCAAACAAAATTTCAGCTAGCAAACCACAGATGTAAAGTCAGGCACGTGTGAGCGCGTTGATGAATCCAGGTATTCCCGTGACTGATGAGTCCTCCCGAGCCAGTGCCGATGGACCACTCGATTTGGCTGGAGAAAGGAGTCGTTTTCCCCATGCCTGATAAGCACAGGCAAGGGTCCGCCTCACGCCTTTTTCTTTTGGCTCATTTATTCTACTCACTTTGCAGTGAATCTCTTTCCAACAGATGCAACCTTGGAGTGGCTGAGAGCACCAGCACCAAAATGATGATTTTTCCGCTTGCCGTGATGGGTGAGAAGAGCGAGAGCGTGTGAGGTCCGCGTGTCCCCGTGACCTGCCGCTCAGCACGTAGCAAGGTTGCCCGGCGAAGAGTTTTCTTTGCAGACCTGAGGTCTCACAGCTTGAATTCGCTGTGTTGGTGGGAGCTGCTGGAGCCGAAGGAGACCTCGGATACAGCCAAAATGGCATCGTAACCCAGACTTCGAACATTGCTTGAGAGCTCTGCTCTGAAAATAATGCGTAAAAATAGAAGCAGGGCCACAAGCTTAGCTATTCCTAATGTGCACAAAAGGATGGGAGAGTGCCAGGAGCCTGCCTGCACTGCCTCTGCCCTGCCTTCAGCCCGGGCTGTTCTCTCCTACCTCCCCTGAATGGCTTTTCAGCGCTGTTAAAAAAGAGAGACATACCCCCAAAAGAGCAAAGTGTGTTTGTTATTGACCCTCGCCTCGAAAGTGTATGAAGAGGGATCAGCTCTGTTTGTTTGTACCCGGTAATGATGTCAGGAAAAGGGTTTTTTTTTTTTCTTTTTTTTTTTTCCCCCAAGTCTGGTTTTATCCCCTTTGTTGGAAGTGCCTTTGGTGAGTCTCACACCCTGGTGCTGTTAGCAAAACAATTAGGTTAACAGTGCCTTGGCTCCAACTGTCTGTCAAAGGCTGAATTGCAATGCAAATGAACTCGGCTTTAGCTCTTCAAAGACAGCTGGGTTCAGGAAAGGTCCCCAGAAACCTCCATGAGAATTGAGGGCTAGGGCTGGGGAGTGTGGGCTCGGTGGGATTTTACACGCAGGACCTAATGCGTTTCGCATGAGGGATGCGATACCTTACACAAATACATTAGAACAAATGCGATATATCATACAAATCCTTTCAGTACCTAAAGGGGGCTTAGCAGAAAGATGGGGACGGAGTTTTTAGTAGGGCCTGTAGTGAGACGACGAGGGGTAATGGTTTTAAACTAAAAGAGGGGAGATTCAGAGGAAATAGAAGGAAGAAATGTTTTACGATGAGGGTGGTGAGACACTGGAGGAGGTTTCCCAGAGAGGTGGTGGATGCCCCATCCCTGGGAACATTCCAGGTCAGGTTGGACGGGGCTCTGAGCAACCTGATGTAGTGGAAGATGTCCCTGCTCATGGCAGGGGGTTGGACGAGGTGACCTTTAAAGGTCCTTTCCGACCCAAACCGTTCTGTGATTCAAACAGATTTTATTCCTTCTCTTGGGTTAGCAGCAACCCCGATACATTTTGGGAGAGGTTTCTGGTCCAGGCTGACGTTTACCTGCCCGTGAGCAATGCCATCCACAGCAGCACTGGCTGTGGGGTATCACCCCACTTTCAGAGCATCTCCCCAACCCAGGTACCATGCTCTTTTTTATCGGCTTCATTGCGCTTATTTCTGTATTTTCCATATGGGCACATACATATGGTCTGCTTAAACAAGTTTGCGAGGTTAATTAGAAAAGAGTTCTTTACCAGTTATTTAATATTTAGCACTTTTGGAGTAATTTTCACCTGCAGAGATCACGACGACAGCTGTACAGATGGGCAACCAGAGCTGCCAAAGCCCAGCTCGTAGGGAAAGGGATGTGCCCAAGGTCCCCCAGAGTACCCATGGCAGGGCCCAAAAAATATGCATTATTAACTCCCGGACCCCGTTCCTGTTCTCCATCCCTTCACAGCATACACCACGCTATGCTTTTTGTCACTCTGTTCATGACAATAAAGTAATCGGGGTCATCAAGTCATCGGCGAGGCAAGAGAAACCGCAAAGGGAAAAATAAAAAAACCCTAAAGCCATCGATCTCGTTTATAACAGCCTGGAAAGTTTTTAAAATTTAAAAAGTGTAATGCATGTATTAATGGGCATGTCCAGCGTGTCTTTCACCAGCAGATACAGGAATGAGAAGGAACTCTTCCCCCCCCCTATCAATTTACCATATGCATCACAGTGGAAAAGGGATTGAGGTTCTCTAAGGAAACAGGGAAATCGGCCTCGGTGTACACGAGGTCACTCCGGAGGCTGGTGAACAAGACGTTAAACTAAAAAATATTATCAAATTGCCATTTTTCAGGATGCAGAAGTGACCATTTTAAAACCAATGGGATTTTTCCGGCGAGCGCAGCAGACCCAGACGCTGATGCCGGTCCGGCTTTGGCACCTTCCTCGGTCACCCCAAGGCCAGATGGCTGCAGCCCCCCCCGACCTCTGAATCGGCCTTGGCTGCAGCACCAGCAGCTGCAGAATTCGATGGGTTGTTTAATGGGCAGCTTATATTTGGGCCGTTAATTATTTGGAGGCGAAGAAGTGAGGAGGAGTCCATCCCCTTCCTCGGACTCCGGCGCGATAACACACCAGCCTGAATTTTTTTTTTTTTTAGATGCCGGTAAATAAGGTTCTTACTCTCCTCGATTTTTTTCATACTATTTATCGCAAAGCAGATTCCGGGCCTGGGCAGGTGTAGTGTCATCAACATTTAATAAGGCTGCCCCAAAATCTAGCCCCTTTCTCCCTAATTTAGATCCGGATTCAGCCAAATCCGTGAGCCTCCCCGGCCCGCTCATGTGAATATTTGCAAGATGGGGCTCTAAAATTATCCCTGCACTCCTGCCTGCACCAAAGGAGAGAGAATCCCGGGAATACCTGTGTTTTCCGGCTGGTCTCTTGTTTAGTCGGGTGCAATTGTTTTAGAATTGGATTTGCTTATAGCAGCCATGATTTAAGAGCCTTGGCTCCTACTTCCACCGCGATAACTGCCTTACCGAGTGACCTTAAGCAACTTCTCCGCCCGCGTTTATGAGATGAAAAAGGAGCTACTCCTCCGTGGGAGCGCGCGTGGGATGGGGACCCTCCGGGACTTCTCCCGTCCCGCAAAGCCTGGCGCTGGGAATTCTTAGCCTCGTGTGCTGGATGAGCCGCGCAGCCTCTTGGTGGCTCAGTTTCCCCATCCTCTGCAGGTTCTCGCGGGCAGAATTGGGCCAGGGGATCGGTGGAAGTACCCCTGGGGATGCCAAAAATGATGCCGGCTGGTAGTACCCGTAACCGGACCGGTCCTAGCGCTACGTGCTCATCGTTTCTGCCTCTCCTTTCGTGAGAATTGCGAGTAGACTTACGCTCGACAAAATAACTTTCCCTTCTTTTGGCGACAGGTGCCGTAAAAGCGCGAAGTATTATTAGCGCGATCGCTTTTTTGTGCCGTGCCCTCCTTCGATGCCCAGAATTGTATATATGCGGGTTGATTTTTTTTTTTTTTTTAATTCTTATGGCCGGATCGGGTTTAATACTTTAATATTTACAA